TTATTATCCAGATATAATTTTCTTTGTCTTCTTTTCTCTCTTGCTTGCAAATAGTACATATTATGGTTTGCTTCTGCATAAGAAATAAAAGTATATGATATAAAATGTAAAATAAAAAATAATTGAAAGTTGGTTAACATTATATTTTTTTCGTAATAATATATAATGAATAATAATAATGAACAAAGAAATGTACCTTTGTGACCGTTGTTAACAAATACCGCAGATGATGAATATTCAGTGGTCGATGAAGAAGGCAATGTATTTGCTTTTTCTTGTTATGTCAATATAAATCATATTTATATGTTATTAAATGATCTATTTAGGCGTTAAAATGTTTGTAATAAGAAATTTATAAATAAATGTTAAAGAAAAAACGTACCATTGTTAGCTGAAGTAATAACATTTGTAGTGGTTGAAGCTTGTTCGATTGATATAGTGGACAAGTTAATGTTACTTATATTATCTAAATAAAAACTATTTAATTTTCTACTCTTTTTAGAATTAAACGACTTCATGATATGTCTGCAAAATAAACAAATAATAACAATTAATTTATAAAATAAGATGAAACTTAAAAAATATAATAATTTATCTAAATAAAACCTAATTAATTTGTAAGTCGGTCAATTTTTGGTAAATAAAATATAAACAAATAATATTTATTTTAAACAAAATATAATATAGAAAATATAAGATATAAAGCAACATGATGATTTTGACATATATTTGCAATATTTTTTTATATAAATAAAACCTAATTAATTTTTAAGTCGGTCAATTATTGGTAAATAAAATATAAACAAATAATATTTATATTAAACAAAATATAATATAGAAAAGATAAGATATAAAGCAACACGATGATTTTGATATAAATTTGCAATATTTTTTTTTATAAGTTTGTAAGTGGAATCATCCTTATAATTTGGTTGCATTTAAATTTTTTTATATTATTACTAAATAAATTTAAAACATAATTTTTATCATTCTTTTTTTTTTCAAAAAGTTTTAATCAACCAATACAATAATTCAATTTTATTTAATATTATAGAAATGCATTTACACTTTTGTATTAAAAATGAACCGTAAATTAAGAATATATATGTATTTATATTATATGGTTTATTTTTATTTATAAATCTTAAATAATAAATTTGTAGCTATAATATCTGTGGTTACAGACAAATTATACATTTTGGGAAATGGGAAATGTAATCGGCACAAACAGAAGCAATCCTCCTCCCACCCATTTGTAACTTTACCTTTCTGGATTTGAAGGTTAGAGAAATTGGATGAATGGTATTTATAAATCCAATATTATTGCCCTAACAAAATCGTTATGATTCACCACCCATATTGAAATCATTATCATCCCGATTACAGTAAGTATCGTTCATTCATGTGTTTAAATTCTAACATTTTGTTTTCATCTATCGATTTCTTATATGTATGTCATCAACCGAAGTCGATTACATGTATATGCTACATATTCATTTGTTTTTTCTTCCTTCGTTTATCTAGTTCGGGTATCCACTAATATCTATTTAGAATATTTTGCAATTTCATCGTATTCGTTAATTTTTTCTCACAGAAAATAGATTAAAATAAAAATAAAACATACCTGTTAATTTTGCAGGAGAATCGATGGAGTAGGAGTGTACATAGAAGAAGACATACAGAGAAGTGGAAAAAAACGTAAAATTATTGAAATAAATTATTGGCTGTTTTGAAGACTTTTCAGCAATCAAAACTTCAAAATTTGAAATTTGAAATTTGAAAATGCGATTATTCAGGTGATTATTCATACAGAATATTTATGTACTTAATTAAATTAAGAAAAGATTGATTTTTATTTATGTAAAATATACAAGATTTGGAAATCGACAAATTTGATGATTTTTGTTGATTTCTAAATTTATGTTTTCAATAATGGACCAGCAACAAAAAACATATGTATGAACATATAAATTTGTTTTTTGGAACCTGAACAGGAAAATGATGGTCCAGAGATTGGTGTTGGTACATTTTTTACATCTGAGAAGAAGAGTTGTGCAGAAATTGTTGTTGCTACACTGTTTTCCAAGTGTGTTGTTTGTTGTTATGTTCTTTCATCAAGGTAACATATTAAGCCAATTAGTTTAATTGTTGAATATTGTAGTGTTTTTGGTGAGTAAGAAAAGAAATAAAACCATTGCAACAGTTCAACTTTTGTTAGTTTAGTCTTTCAACTTAAGGGCAATATGGTCTTTTTTTGAGTAAATCGGTTACAATAGTGTAAAAATGTCGGTTTTAAACTTGTATAAGTATATGTGTTAAGTAGTTTTCAACTTAGGGGTAATATGGTATCTTTTGGATTAATTTAAGTGTAAAAGGGTAAGATGGTCATTTTAAAACTTGAACAACACTTGTGAATTATAAGCACAATACAGTTAAAGAACATATATATATATATATATATATATATATATATATATATATATATATATATATATATATAGCATTGAAAGTAAAATAATATACTGAGTAAATAAATATAAATCTAAAAGTATATAATTTTACATTTTTTTCTATTAAGTGGATGCTTCTTCAAAACACATTCGTGTATACAACAAAGTGCTACAGTTTGTCCCATTTCATTGACAAAAAAGACCATTTAAAACCGACATTTTGAAATTAAGTTCTCATTATCGTTAAAAAATGTGAATAACATTTGTGAGTTTTAGAAAATATAGAAGATTTTATTATTCAGAATACATAAATAGCAGAATTTTTATTATACATATTGGTTGATTTATTTATTTGTCTTAATTATTAACTGCCATATATTCAATACTTTTCTACTTAGGGGCAATATGGTCTTTTTAAAATAAAAGAAGTGGAAAAGGGTAACATGACAGTTATAAAAAATAAAAAGTATATCATAGATTATAGTAGAAGTTTTTTTATTCAGAATACTTAAAAAAAAAAGTAAAAATAACAATATACATTCAGTTTTTTGTTTTCAAAAAAGTAGAAGTAAATGCAGTGGATAAGGGATAAATGGTTGTTTTAAAACTTATATAACATATTTATCAAATACCTTTCAACTTAGGGGTAATATGGTCTTTTTTGGAGTAAATAAAGTGTAAAAGGATAAATGGTCATTTTAAAATTTGATAATGTAATGTATCAAATACTTTTCAACTTAAGGGCAATATGCTCTTTTTTTGAGTAAATCGGTTACAAAAGTGCCATTATGTCGGTTTTAAACTTGTATAAATGTGTTAAGTAGTTTTCAACTTAGGGGTAATATGGTATCTTTTGGATTAATTGAAGTGGAAAAGGGTAAGATGGTCATTTTAAAACTTGAACAACAGTTGTGAATTATAAGCACAATACAGTTAAAGAACATACATATATATAGCATTGAAGGTACAATAATATATTGAGTAAATATTTATAAATCTAAAAGTATATCATTTTACATTTTTTTCTATTAAGTGGATGCTTCTTCCAAACACATTGGTGTATACAACAAAGTGCTGCAGTTTGTCCCATTTCGCTGACAAAAAAGACCGTTTTAAAACCGACATTTTCAAATTAAGGTCACATTATCGTTAAAAAATTTGAATAACATTTGTGAGTTTTTAGAAAATATAACATTTTTATTATTCAGAATACATAAATAGCAGAATTTTTATTATACAAATTGATTGATTGATTTTATTTGTGTTAATTGTTAACTGCCATATATGATATACTTTTCAACTTAGGGGCAATATGGTCTTTTTTGAAGTAAAGAAGTGGAAAAGGGTAACATGAAGTTATAAAAAATAAAAATCTATATCACATTATGTGTAACAGTTGTGAGGTTTAGAAAGTATAGTTATATATAAGATATTTATAAAGCATTGAAAGTAAAATAATATAATGAGAAAAAAAAAATCGAAACCTATATCATAGATGATAACAGAAGTTTTATTATTCAGAATACATAAACAGAAAAAACCAAATAGTATTTTAGTAATTCAATTTGTTGTTTTTGATACTATAATTATAGAGAAACAGCAATGCAGTGGAAATATTAAAATAGTAAAATACATATAGAAGCAGAATTTTTATTATACAGATTGGTTGATTGATTTATTTGTCTTAATTGTTAACTGACATATATGAAATACTTTTCAACTTAGGTGCAATATGATATTTTTGAATTAAAAGAAGTGGAAAATGGTAACATGACAGTTATAAAAAAAAAAAGTATATCATAGACTAAAATAGAAGTTTGTTTATTCAGAATACATTGGATACAAAAAAAAAGTATAAATAGCAATAAAATTAAGGAGTTTAGTATTGATTTCCTTTTTGATTTTTTGTGTTGTTTTATAATTTTTCATTTATTTTTTATTTTTTGTTTACTATTGAAAGAGCAATATTTTTGGCTAGTAACAGAAGTTGGTGATGTTAAGGTTAGTAGCATAAAACAATATTTATTATTTGGTGATGTTAAGCTTAGTAGCATAAAACAATATTTATTTGATCATTTTTACTGTCAGTATGAAAAAAAAAAACAATATAAATGAAGCCAATGAACATATTTTGAGTTTTCTTTCTACCTAGGACATGCTAGAAAACAGAAAAATAGAATAAGTTAGCATAAAAGCTAATGTATGTTGGTATCCTTCTAATATGCAATAAGAACATAAAAGAGAATGAAACACACTTTGTGCAAATAATATGCAGTATATAATTAATACGAATTGACAATTTTTAGATCTTTATGTTTTAAAAAATGAATCAAAGCATATTCAAGTCAAGTGACATGTGATAATTACATAATGAACAAACCAAAAGGAATAAAAGGTAAGAAGAAAATGGGGACCAAAATTAAGATCAATGACGAATATTTTAATAGGGTAGCGTGATTGTTAAGTGAATAATAATTTTGGGATTATATGATGTTCAGAAACGTGAAACAAAATAACATAGTAAATGTCATTAGAGTACTGAAAAAGTTGAGCCAATGTAATATGAAGAAACGAATATGAAAATCATAAAATTCCAATAAATCCAACTTAAAATAAAGAAAGTTAAAAATGTAAACGGCTTAGGAGTCTATGATGCTGAAACAAAATTAAGCACGAAGTAATATTGTTTGTAGAAGTAAAATGCATTTACTTTTCTTTCTTGGGTACCAAAAGAGGGATTGGTTGTTCATCTGGTGGTGACAACCGAGGAGTTTTAGAAGTAGACAAATTCTCCATTTCATCAAGATCTATGCATGTAGCAAGGTTTCTTTTTAATTCGGTTGGTGTAGAAAACAACTTTGTAGGACTTGTTGCAGTTGAGTTGTCCCTAGCACACGGTGTTAAATTTTCACCTGTGTGTGAAAAAGAATCCTACAATAAATTTTAGTTAGTTCTTATACATTAAATTGAAATATTTAAAAATTATATTTAAAAAGTAGAACCTTCACAACTTTGGTCTCTTGGGAGGCAATATCTGAAGAACCAATAATGAATGAATCAGAATTATCAGGCTGCATTATAAGATCAAAAGAAAATGTTATTTTACTCATGTATAATTGGGCCAATGTCGTGTATATATAATATATATATATATATATATATAATATATATTATATATATATATATATATATATATATATATATATATATATAT